TGCGATCAGCCCAACACATCACCGGGGGCACACTGCCTGCCCTCCAGGACATCTACAGCACCCGGTGGCACAGGAAGGCCAAGAAGATCATCAAGAACCTCAGCCACTCGAGCCACGGCCTGTTCACCCTGCTACCATCTACAAGGCAGAGACATTACAGGTGCATCAAAGCTGGGACCAAGAGAATGGTAAACAGCTTCTATATCCAGACCATCAGACTGGTAAACAGCTTCTATCTACAGGCCATCAGACTGGTAAACAGCTTCTATCTACAGGCCATCAGACTGTTGAACAGCTTCTATTACCATCAGACTGTTAATTAGCTTCTATCTCCAGACCATCAGACTGGTAAACAGCTTATATCTCCAGACCATCAGACTGTTAATTAGCTTCTATCTCCAGACCATCAGACTGGTAAACAGCTTCTATCTCCAGACCATCAGACTGGTAAACAGCTTCTATCTCCAGACCATCAGACTGGTAAACAGCTTCTATCTCCAGACCATCAGACTGGTAAACAGCTTCTATCTCCAGACCATCAGACTGGTAAACAGCTTCTATATCCAGGCCATCAGACTGGTAAACAGTCATCACACCATCTCCTGTAATAAGAGAGAAAGATGGACTCACTCACACAAAATCACACACACAAGCTCACACACACACACACCTCATACGCAGACTTCTGCACTCACATATACACTCACACACACGCATACACCAAAACTTACAAACACACGCACATACACACACACACACAACTCTGCTGTCCCATGTATATAGAGACATTAAACACTGGATCGTTTCTTAATGTTTTCCAAACTGTGTATTCATGTACTGGATCCACATGGCTCATTCTAATATATCTGCTACTCTACATTGCACTTAGTTTCACTGTTTATTTATAAGCTGAATTCTCGACATAGCTCACTGTAATATATCTACTGCTGTACATGTCATTCTAAGTATATCTTGTTGGTGTATATAAACATAGATTGCATTTGGATTACTGATACAGTGTTATTTGGGTTGTTAACTGGATTCGTTCTGACATTTGTGATTTCTTGTTTCTAGTTTTGATTATTATTTGTGTACTTGTTTGACATTTTTGCTGCACTGTTAGGAGCTAGTAACATAAGCATTTCGCTGCACCCGCTATAACATCTGCTAAACTGTGTACGCAACCAATAAACATTGATTTGCTATACTTCGTCATGTTATATACACAGTGTGATGGCTGCCTGATAAGAAAGACAAACCTAGCAGGATGGTCGGAGAGGGTATGGTGTGTGTGTGTCTGTGTGTGTCTGTGTGTGTCTGTGTGTAACTGTGTGTGTCTGTGTGTGACTGGGTGTGACTGTGCATGAGTGCATGGGGCTGTGTGACTGAGCTGAATGCAGAGATGGCAGAGCCTGCTAGCAGTAGTAGGTGTGGATGGACTAGGGAGAGAAATGCTAACGCCAGCGAGAGTTGAGCTCTTGGCTATTCCGTGTACCTGGATCTGGGAGGGGGTCTCTAACTCTCTCTCTCTCATTATATCCAAACAGCATTGTTCCGTTTGCTTTCTGTTCCTCATAGTGCAAACTTCCTATGACCTTCTCTGCCCATTCAGTGCACTTAGAGTAAAAGCTGTCTTTGAGAGCATTAGTCTGAAAGAAACAGGGTTTTTATAATGACATCTGGGAGGTTTGACCTGTTGAGCATGTCTGTCTTTTCTCTCTAGTGGATCAGAGTGCTCTCTGTCTGCAGAACAAAGACCAAGTCTGTGTCACAAATGGAACCCCATTTCCGATATAGTGCACTCTATGGGGCCTGGTCTAAAGTAGTTCACTATATACGAAATTGGGTGCCATTTGGAATGCACACAAAGACCCTCCCTCCTGAAGAAAGAGCTGTCAGATGTACAGGACTTGGTGTTCTGTTCTCTACTTGTCTTTCTTGCTCTGTCTCTGTCTCACCTCCTCTCCATTCCAAGAAGTTCATCGTCAGGGTCAGATGGGGGATATGGTGCTAGGGGTCGGAGTCTGCGATCGAGACGGCGCGAGAGAGCAGAGAGAGAAGAGGGAGAGCGATAGGAGGAGGATGAGAGGGAGATCGCAGAGAGAGAGCGAGAGAGAGAGCGAGAGAGCGAGTCTCTCGACGGAGCGAACGAGAAACATAACCGACAAGCCGACTCTCGCGGCGCGACGATCGCTGCCTCGCTCTAGCGCGAGAGCTCTCGGGCATCGACTCTCACTCTCTCTATCTCTCTCTCTCTCTCTATCTACTCTCTATCGCTCTATCTCTCTTCTCTATCTCTCTCCACACTCGCTCTCCTCTCTCTCTCTTCTCTCTCTCTCTCTCTCTCTCTCTCTCTTCTCTCTCTCTCTCTCTCTCTCTCTCTCTCTCTCTCTCTCTCTCTCTCTCTCAGAATCAATTATAGTGAAGTGTGAGAATCCTTTGAGATGAAAGCCTTCAAGGCAAACAAATGTTCCTCTTAATCAACTCTCCTTCTCCCAGAGTTGCTCCATTTAACATTTTAAGTACCTGTATAGAAACTGGCGGTCTGCGGGCCGAATTTGGCCACCAAGTTTTCTGAGCAAAAATCAAATATATATTTTGGACATAAAAGACTGTAAAAAACACCAGGAAATCAGGTCCAAATGATTTGAATTGAAGAAATCTGTTCCCAAGTATTCCCACACATAATAGAGAGATACGACGTGATCATATGCAAATGTAAGCAAGGTTTGAAATGATTATGTTTTAGTCAAACATTATATCCGAATGGGCTTCTTGCTGTCAATTTCCAGTCTACAAATTATTTGTAATTATGTTCCGGCCCCCCGACCATCCGCTCAAGAAAATAATCGGCCCGCGGCTGAATGTAGTTGATGATCCCTGTTGTATAGTATCCCCTTATTCACCTAGCTAGCTATACCTTGCACTGACTATGAGTCTCTTCTTCATTAGTCCTTTTCCAGAAATACATCTTATTTATTTATTTAATGTTCACTGTAATTATCAGGTTGCAAACTTTTAGCCTTTGTTCTTTTTCCTGTCTTTTTTCTCTTTCTTACAGGCAGAGAGAAGAGAAGAGGAGGAGAGAGGAGGAGAGATGAGAGGAGAGGAGAGGAGAGGAGAGGAGAGGAGAGGAGAGGAGAGGAGAGGAGAGGAGAGGAGAGGAGAGGAGAGGAGAGGAGAGGAGAGGAGAGGAGAGGAGAGGAGAGGAGAGGAGAGGAGAGGAGAGGAGAGGAGAGGAGAGGAGAGGAGATGAGAGGAGAGGAGAGGAGAGGAGAGGAGAGGAGAGGAGATGAGAGGAGAGGAGAGGAGAGGAGAGGAGAGGAGAGGAGAGGAGAGGAGAGGAGAGGAGAGGAGAGGAGAGGAGAGGAGAGGAGAGGAGAGGAGAGGAGAGGAGAGGAGAGGAGAGGAGAGGAGAGGAGGAGTTCTAGCCTGCAGACATCCATAAAGTAAGTAAAATACTCTTTGACCTGAAACATGTTCTGAGCTCCCTCTCTCCCTGGCTCTCCTCTCTGCACTCAGGCTCAGTTGCAGAGTCTCTTACAAGGATCCCACTGAACTGACTGACATAACAGAGCTGTGTCTGTAGGCTACATCACAGTACAGCAGTAGCATGAACCCTGCGACAACAGAAGCCAGTCTGAATTATTTTCTTCCACTTCCCCTGAGCCCTAACCCCTCAAAGTTGGCAGATCTGAAGGGTCTGGATAGGTATCAGCAGTGTAGTGTTGGAGCTTCTTACAGATTGTTAAACATCAAAGCGTCAGGGCCAGAGGGAAGGGTTGGGGGGCGATTTGGGATGTGCTGAACCTGTCTCCTCTTCCCCAACAGAATCAGTCACCTGAGCTTAAGATTAGACCAGTATCAAGATGATTGGTTGAGACCATAGAAATATAATGATTTCTTGCTTGTACTTCCTCGCATGGGCACAATCAATATGGTCGCAGGTCCACCCATCACAGAACATTGACATGAATGGCTTGACTGTCCATTCAAGTCATTCTATTGAAATGGTTGAGACTAGGTTTTCCATCACTAAGGTGAGGTTATTCTCTCTATGGTTCAGCTTCCATACTTCAGGACAGGTCTGTAAATGGATCAGTTATGTCCTGTAGATGAGTTCCTATTGTTTTTCACCATGAGACATGTAATGCATAGTTATATCATACAGAAATGGTAGCTACAGTACCAACTCAACCTCAACATTCAAATCTACTTATAAATGCCTTATTGAAAAGCTCAGAAGCGCTGATGAAGCCTAATAATTATCACACAGTTGCCTCTTCCTGTAGAAGTCAACTTGATCTGAGGCATCAAGTCTCAGAGTAGGAGTGCTGATCTAGGATCTATCTCGCTTTCTCTCTCTGTATCTTATCTGAGACGCTTGATACATATAGCCTCAGATTTACTCAGGTATGGCTAACGTATTCTTCTGAAGAATACCACTGGTATATCAGTGAAAATGTTCTCCAGTTGCTTTGAGTCAGAGAGCAAAATGTAGGGTTATAGCCTCGTGGCATACTATTTCCTTCCATGGCTTCCTCAAGTGTTTTGACCTTCCAAAGTTCAGTTACAAGAAGCTTACTTTCCTTCCCACAGTATCATTCCAACTGTCATCATCATCATCACCATCAATCATCACAGGATGTTGATTCCATCCCCCAAAATGTCCAAACAGTTTCATGCATATCATCATGCTCTTCCAATGAAGGACCAGACATAATCAAGCATAACAAGGGTGATAGCAAGTACAGTTCATCACATGAAACCACATGGAGGATCTTAAAAGTTATCTTGTTTCTCTCCATCACTATGTCTTCTCCTGCAGGGTTCTCTCCAGTGTGTCTCAACCTTTTTATTATGTCAGGCACCGGCAGTCTATGGTCTTTACTCCCATCTAATGCTTTAATTCAGTCAGCTAATCATCTCTCGGACTGTAAGTCCCATCCCACAGACCAGCGCCTGTCCACGGACTAGAAGTCGAGAAACACTGGTCAGGTCTACCTGGAGTTGCTGGTCTCTGCCAGCATGTTGTTCATGATCCCCAGAGCGCCCACTCCTCCAGAGAACCCGTTATGTCTCGAGCCGCCACACACCGTCCTGGGATAACCGTTAGCGGACTCTGATAACTGCTTCTGCATGAGTGCAAGTGAGACCTTATTAGAGGCCGTCAGGTCCTTCATTGAAATCATCTCTCCTGAGAGTCTGCGTCCTCCTCCCTCCGTGTCACTGTCGCAGGGTCCCGAATCCCCCGAGTCCGGCGTGCGTCTGATTCCGAAGCGACCTTTACGGATTCTCGAACCAGGCCGGATGGCGTTGCGGCGACCCAACGGGAAAGAGTTGGACTTGATGTTGCACCGCTGGCAGCATAAGTTCTGAAGCATCCAGTTGAGCACCTGAATGATGGAAGAAATTTGATTAGACATATAAAATACAGATAGAGTTGCCTCAGCCATTTGAGTACAACAATGCATACATAAAAATTATATTGTCAACAGACATAAAAAACAATATTGTCAACAGACTTATTTCCATTGTGGTCGTTGTTCTAAATCTACCTGTTTGATGACGATGGAGATAACATTGAACAGAGAGTAGATGCAGCATACGCCCATGAGGATGAACAGGCAGTTGGCCAGACGGTACAGCGGCTGGTACTCATAGTCTGCTCTCTGGCTCGACACCAGGTCCCCAAAGCCGATGGTACTGAAGGAGGAGCAAGAGGAGGAGGCGGAGGAGGAGGAGCAGGAGGAGGAGGAGGAAGAAAAAGTTGAAGTAGAAAAATAAGACTAGAGTTCAGAATTTCAGTAACTTTCCCCAAATTCCCCAGTTTTCTAGAAATCCGGTTGGAGAATTTCCTACTTATTACCTCCTAATTTTAGGAATCGGTAGCACTTTATAATAACTCCACTTAATAAAGCATCGATAATGGATTAGTAAAGAGTTTATTAATAATTTATTAATCATTACTCCCTTCAAAATATGTTTAATATAGGTCCGTATAAACGATGTCCTAATCATTAGTTAAGTATTTTTGTGTGGCCTCATTTAAAAAGTGTGGGCTATTTATACTTTATAAATACTTTATAAATGTTTTGCGTGACCAATGTCATTTTTCACTAAAGGATGGACATGCTCCTTAAGGTCTTCAATGGTGAAAGAGTAATCACAGTAATCACACAACACAGGATGTTAAAGGAAATATATTGAACATTTTATTCATAAAAACAGTTGTGAAGCAACTGTTGAAAGGACTTGAGGAGGAGTTAATCAACCCCGCAAACGCAAACTAATCCTACAACAGGGAGATGTAGCCTAAACACAACAGCTGGCTGGACCAGACAGTTTTTCTCTGGTGGGTTTTTATTCCTTCATTACTACTGATATGTGATTGAGGAAGAAATGTGACAGGTGTTGGATCTAAATTTGATGACCATGTTGTTGCAGGAAATGTCCTGCTTGTAGTGTATTCATTGGCTGAGAGTTTCCTTTTGCAAACTGGAACTCCCAATTTCTAACAGTTCTGGGTTAACCGAGATTATACAGATTTTCTATGATTTTTATTAGGATCCCGTCCCTGGGAAAAATATATCACAGAAAAAAACACTTCTCTAAGGAGACTGCAATCCACACACTGGTTTTGGTAGAAAAGTCACTGCCAAGAAACGCTCATTTTCTATATATTTTCTTAACTTCAATATCCTTGTGTGCTCATAGTTTAACCATTGATATGTTCTAGGGGCCGTTCTGAGACCTTAAGGAGCAGCAGGTACTGCTGGAATGTCTACCAATGGCATGTCCATATTTTGGTGAGAAATTACACTGGTCACTCAAAACATTTATGAAGTATTTATAAAGTATAAATAGCCCACCCTTTAGATGAGGGTACTCAAAAATACTTAAATAATTATCAGGAAATGGTTTATAAGGACCTTTCTTATGATCTTATAAATCATTATTAAATACTTTAAAAGTGGTTTATAAATGTGTGAATAACTAGGTTACTAACATTTACAAATGTGGGAGTAATGATTAATAACGGTTTACTAATCCATTATGAATCCTTTATTACGTGGAGTTATTATAAAGTTCTACCCAGGAATCTTCCAACCGGGATTTCTGGAAAACCAGGGAAGTTTGGGAAAGAGACATACACATAGACACACCCACGAAAAGGTTGAAGAACAGGGCCAGCCACAGTGCAGTGCCTTGATCAAGGGCAAAACGATAGGATATGGTATTTACTATCCATCAGATTTCCCCTTCAGTCAGACTCAAGATTCGTACAGAGAACCCTCCAGCCGGTTGCTGTCTGGCCCATCTCTCCAACCTCCGACCTTACCTGAATGTGACGAAGCAGAAGTAGAGTGAGTCCAGGTAGGCCCATCCCTCCACGGGGGTGTACATGGCTGAGGCGCAGCAGGAGATGATGATGGCGGATATCCCCAGGATCAACATGACGTGGTAGACCGATGGCTTCCACCCCGGGAAAGAACACGCCGAGAAGTCATGGCGGATACCCGGCGGGAGGAGGCCGGAGTTCCGGATGCGACGTTCCCTCACGGCCTTCATGACCACGGCCAGGAGGGTGATAATGCGTTCCAGGAAGAGGTTAAAGAACAAGATGGTGGCGGCACAGCCGAGGAGACCGTAGACAATCAGGAACACCTTCCCTGCTACCGTCACCGGAGTGGACATCCCGAAACCTACAGGTGGCGACAGAGAGATGGGGTTAGATTAATGGATTGCTTGATTGCTTAATTGATTGAGTGGTTGATTGATTTAGTGGATGATTGATTGGTTGATTGATTGATGAAAGAAGACTAGACTACTAAAGGCTCAGAGGAAGGCGTTTAACACACCACAACATAAATCTGTTTGTCCGTTCCTAATAATCCCCAGAGATCATTGCATGTATCTGAATGCTCCATTTCCTTCTTCTGTGGTAGACACCAAGGCTGCGTTTACACACGCAGCCCAATTCAGATTTTCTTTTCCAGTAATTGGTCTTTTCAGCAATCAGATCGGAAAAAGATCTGATGTGTAAAGATATGAATTGGGCTGCGTGTGTAACGCAACCCAAGTGAGTCCTGGCCTGGGGTAAGATGTTTTACACTCTACTCTGTATATACCAGCATGTCTATTAACCAGCGCTGTACCAGCATTAGATGAGTTCAATAAAGTGGGTGATATTTTGCAACTGAAATATCTGGCAACATCATTCTATTGTATTGTTGTATTTTTGGCTTTATGTTTTGTTTTACCCCATATGTAACTCTGTGTTGTTGTTTTTATCGCACTGCTTTGCTTTATCTTGGCCAGGTCGCAGTTGTAAATGAGAACTTGTTCTCAACTGGTTAAATAAAGGTAAAAAATAAATAAAAAATGAAAAAATAATATTCTATTAGCATCAGAAGTGGCACTTCCTTCGACTCTACTAAAAACAAAGGCCATAAGTATTTGGTAGGGTGTTTGAGAAACAAAGTAATGAAGCAAAGTTCTGTAACTGATTGACATTTCTGCTGTGGATGCTGATCTGGCCCTTTGTTCTGTCTACTCATTTTCTGGTCAATGAGGTGTGAAAGCTAAGTGGAGAAGTTGTGAGAGGTGACGAAAGATGAGGATTAGATGTCTGTGGAGTGTGTGTGTGTGGCATGCTTGAGTTACACAGGAACAAAAACAGGGACAATTATTATCTTGGGAAGTCAGAGGTTAGAGACAGCTGACACGCATCTTTGCTCACCAGCCAAAGTGTATAGTAGTTGTGGCCACTCACTTCTACTGTACCTGATTGGAAAAGTGATTGCAGGGAGATCAACGAGTGAGATTCTGTTTTAAGGTGAAATTAGTTTTCCATCGTTGTCTTTTTATATCTGCGTCCCAAATGGCACCCTTTTTCCTATATCGTCTCTGGTCAAAAGTAGTGCACTATATAGGAAATAGGGTACTATTTATTTCCACTCACCCACCCAGGGCTTAAAAGCCTAATAGCTGTTCTCTGTTCTGATAACTACAGTAATAAATGATATCAATGTGATGAGCTTGCTCCCTTTATGACTCACAATGTATTTTTTAACCTTATCGTTAAAATTGGAAATCGCTCAAATACGATCGTTATTAATAAAGCAAATACACACTCATGGAAGCAGGCAGAAACAAACACACACACACACATACATTTTTGTCATTTAGCAGACACTCTTATCCAGAGCGACTTACAGGAGCAATTAGGGTTAAGTGCCTTGCTCAAGGGCACATCGACAGATTTTTCACATAGTCGGCTCAGGGATTTGAACCAGCGACCTTTCGATTACTGGCCCAACGCTCTTAACCACTAAGCTACCACCTACACACACACACCCACCCACTCACCCAAACACACCCACCCACCCACCCATCCACCCACAAAGAGAAAAACACACACACACACACAGAGAGACACACAGACAGACAGACACACAGACAGACAGACACACAGACACACAACCACTGACACATGTTTCTCTATCATCAGCCCAGTGCGCTGTCATAGCAGCAGAGTTAGAAAATAGAATAAATCACACACGAATCGTATTTCCAGATGCATGTAGAAAAACTGTATACCGGTTTGAAAAGAAACTCTAACACACTGATGATCTTAATGCTCTACAAATAGTAGTGGAGTTCCACAGGCCAGTGTTGTGGCTGTAATAGTGGAGTTACACAGGGCAGTGTTGTGGCTGTAATAGTGGAGTTCCACAGGGCATTGTTGTGGCTGTAATAGTGGAGTTCCACAGGACAGTGTTGTGGCTGTAATAGTGGAGTTCCACAGGACAGTGTTGTGGCTGTAATAGTGGAGTTCCACAGGGAAGTGTTGTGGCTGTAATAGTGGAGTTCCACAGGGCAGTGTTGTGGCTGTAGTAGTGGAGTTCCACAGGGCAGTGTTGTGGCTGTAATAGTGGAGTTCCACAGGGCAGTGTTGTGGCTGTAATAGTGGAGTTCCACAGGACAGTGTTGTGGCTGTAATAGTGGAGTTCCACAGGACAGTGGTGTGGCTGTAATAGTGGAGTTCCACAGGGCAGTGTTGTGGCTGTAGTAGTGGAGTTCCACAGGGCATTGTTGTGGCTGTAATAGTGGAGTTCCACAGGACAGTGTTGTGGCTGTAATAGTGGAGTTCCACAGGGCAGTGTTGTGGCTGTAGTAGTGGAGTTCCACAGGGCAGTGTTGTGGCTGTAATAGTGGAGTTCCACAGGGCAGTGTTGTGGCTGTAATAGTGGAGTTCCACAGGGCAGTGTTGTGGCTGTAATAGTGGATTTCCACAGGGCAGTGTTGTGGCTGTAATAGTGGAGTTCAACAGGGCAGTGTTGTGGCTGTAATAGTGGATTTCCACAGGACAGTGGTGTGGCTGTAATAGTGGAGTTCAACAGGACAGTGTTGTGGCTGTAATAGTGGAGTTCCACAGGGCAGTGTTGTGGCTGTAATAGTGGAGTTCCACAGGGCAGTGTTGTGGCTGTAGTAGTGGAGTTCCACAGGGCAGTGTTGTGGCTGTAATAGTGGAGTTCCACAGGGCAGTGTTGTGGCTGTAATAGTGGAGTTCCACAGGGCAGTGTTGTGGCTGTAATAGTGGAGTTCCACAGGGCAGTGTTGTGGCTGTAGTAGTGGAGTTCCACAGGGCAGTGTTGTGGCTGTAACAGTGGAGTTCAACAGGGCAGTGTTGTGGCTGTAGTAGTGGAGTTCCACAGGGCAGTGTTGTGGCTGTAGTAGTGGAGTTCCACAGGGCAGTGTTGTGGCTGTAATAGTGGAGTTCCACAGGGCAGTGTTGTGGCTGTAGTAGTGGAGTTCCACAGGGCAGTGTTGTGGCTGTAATAGTGGAGTTCCACAGGGCAGTGTTGTGGCTGTAATAGTGGAGTTCCACAGGGCAGTGTTGTGGCTGTAGTAGTGGAGTTCCACAGGGCAGTGTTGTGGCTGTAATAGTGGAGTTCCAGAGGGCAGTGTTGTGGCTGTAGTAGTGGAGTTCAACAGGGCAGTGTTGTGGCAGACTGACTGGAGACAACACAGGATCATAATAGACAGCAGCAGAGTGTGTGATCGTTCTCTCTGTGTGTGTGTGTGTGTGTGTGTGTGTGTGTGTGTGTGTGTGTGTGTGTGTGTGTGTGTGTGTGTGTGTGTGTGTGTGTGTGTGTGTGTGTGTGTGTGTGTGTATGTGTGTGTGTATGTTTGTCTGTGTTTGTGTGTGGTTTGTGATTCATACTGTCAACACTGCACAGCATTAACTAGTTTAGATAATATCATACACACAAAGCTGCAGCATATGGTCTAAGTAAACCAGTACATCTTATATTTAGAGGTGTTAATTAATTCTAAAGCTGATGCTACAGTAAATGTGGAAGTTAGTTACAACTGTCTAGTGTTTTGGTGTGGTGGTGCATCTTTATAATTTAGTGATTTGAATTTCACACAGTTTACCCATACACACACACACACACAGGGATTGAGGAAGGAGCCATGAAACGAACAGCGTTGCTAGTCTACTAGTCTGTCAGTGAAACTGAAGCAGAGTACAACAGAACCATTAATGGTGCCTAGAAAACATACTGCTGTAGAGAATAAAACATGCATGCTGATGTGTGTTTCATACGCACACACACACAGAAACAACATTTTTATTCATTTAACCGTTATTTAACCAGGTAAGTCATATTTTCTTTCATAATAACTGTTGTGTCAATTCCTGACTACAAGCTATACCGAGCACTCAAGCCTAAATCCACCCAGGGTGCTCAAAGCACTCCCAACCTGCAGGGGGCAACCATGCAACCGGAGCTGTTGAAACCAACCACCAGGAAGTGCTCTGGGGACCATATTAACCTGCGCACCCACAAGCAGTGCATGTGCATGGCATCGAAATGTTTGGTAAAAGCTTACTTGGCTCTCACTCATTCCTGAGAAGAGATACCAATGACCACAGCTCCTGATCATCCAAAGACGCAACTGGTAGGACAGAATGTGTTGTGAATTCATGCTTCTATATGCCCTTTTGTTTGGTTGTAACATACAATACAATTATTAATTAAATTAAATAGTGAAGACTTCATTATGTGAACGTAGAACTTGACGGTAACGTTACTATAATCATGTGTATTGTTAAATGTTTAATTATGATATTGATATTTAATTATTAACTTGCAATGATCCTAGGTTAATCTAAATGATGAAATGATTGTTTGGTTAGGTTTGAGGATTCAGTAACATTAGTTTATGCTTATTTTTGAGAAAGTGGAATTGAGAGTTATTTGTAACTAATCCATGGTTTTTTGTTTGTGTGGTTTGAAGGTTATCAACCTATTCTGTTCCATCTTTATGACAATAAAAAATCATAAAGTGAACAGTTTTGAGTTGTCCTTTGCGTTCATCAAGGATAAAGCCGTTTTCAAGTTTGGGCAGAGCTGTGGTCAGCCAGAAATCACGCAGAACTTGACAGTTGATAACCAGCGTGGCAGTGAGGACGAGGATCAAAGGGCTGAAGTCAAGCTGTCGACGCAAAGGAAGAATTGCCTGTGAAACTCTACACCATGGCCAAGGAAACTTTTGGGAAAACAGTCAAGCAACTGAAGCAAGAGCGGACCTTAGCCAAATCTGCTTTCACCAGACAAGCGAACTACCTGAGTAAAGCTGCAGCTGGTATGATTAAGCATGAACTACAAGAGGAGTTCAGCAAGCTCAGTTCCCTGGCTAGAAGTGTCGGTGATTCAAATGATGACTACGCGGCTGGCCTACTGGCTGAAGCGGGAACTAAGGGAGATGAAGAGGTCAAGCTCGACAAGGACCAGCAGGCTGATCTTGAAAGGACGATTGAAGAGTGCGACATGAAATTGGAGGAAATCCGAGAGGCAGTCCAATTCAACCTCTGGCCAAGATACGGTAAAGAGGAGGTAGACTTTGCAATCCAAGAAGCGGAGAAAGCCTGTGACAGAGCCAAAGAAACTCCCGTCACTGCTATTAACAGGGACGGCTATGAACTACAGCTGGAAAGAGCGAGGAAGCTAATCCATGATGCAAGTGAAAGCCTGAAAGACTGGGAAAAATGGGTCCCACACGATGAGACTGCAGATCTGAAAGGCAGAGTAAAAGATCTGAGAATATTCGGCAGTAACCTCGAGGCCAAAAGAACAGAATTCCTCATCGCACAGAGAATTGCAGAAGAGGACAGAAGACCTACAGAGCTTCAACCAATAGCAGTTCCACAACCAGTGGTGAGAATAAAACCAACCAGTCTACCTAAATTCACTGGGCTTAGGAGGAATTTCCACAGATGGAGGAAAGACTGGGAGAGCCTGCAAAAGCAGGGAGAGCCGACTGGTTCAGTGGAGGTGAAGAAGTTTCAACTTCTTGACAGTGTGGACGAGAGAATATGTAGAGACCTGCGCCTGTCATCATATAACAGTGCTGAAGACATGTTTAGAGTACTCCAAAACCGGTATGGAAACAAGCCAACAATTGCTTTGGAGATAATTGAGGACCTGGAGAGGATCCCTCCTTTAAAGTCACACCAACCAAGGAAGGTTATTGACCTGATTCAAGCTGTGGAAAAGGCCCTGAATGACCTCACGGAGCTCGAAAGCAGTGGAGCCATAAAGAATCCCCTTGTCATCAGATCCATAGAGAGCAAGCTGCCGGATAACATGAAGAGGGACTGGCTGACATTCATGGTCAACCCAAGAAATGGAGTCACACCTGACAATCACTTCGACAGCCTTCTAAGATTTTTAAAGACACAAGAGGACATACTGGAGAAACTAGACCAGTTGGGTGTAAGTGAAAAACCTGAAAAGAAAGCTACGTACCCGGAGAAGCGGTATGCTTCCACAAGGTCCACGAGAAAGGGAGGATGCGTTGTGTGTGGAGATGAAAAGCACCGTGAGAAGATTTTCTTTTGTAAGCAGTTCAAAGAACTAAAGCCTAGTGAGAAGCTGAATGCTGTCGAAAGACTGGGAGCATGCAGAAGATGCCTCAGATGTCATGGAGAGGATGAGGAATGTACGGACACTTACCTTTGCAAAAACAGAGACTGCAAAAGAGGAAGCTCCTCGGATCACCATTTCTTTCTCTGCCTTAAAGGAGGGGCTAAGAGGAAAGAATACGTGAAAGTGGAAAAACCCAGCACCAGGAGGCAAACATTCACAGAGGAGCAAGAGAGATTAATACGTGAGCTCACCCCGGACATGGCAGAAAAATTCAGGAATGCTTTCACCAACATGGCAAAATCACACTGCACTGGAGGAAGCCTTCCTGGGGTAATGGACTCAAGCACACGTGAATTACCAGTTATTCTTATGCTTCTCGAAGTAAGTACTAACGCAGGGCAGAAAATTGGAACTCTCATTGACTTAGCATCAGACACCAACTACATCACTCACACAGCCGCCAGGAGACTGAAGCTTCGAAGTGAAAGGATCACACTAGTCGTCCATGGAGTTGGAGGCATGGCCATGAAGGTGAAGACCAAAAGATACTTACTCAAAGTGAGAGTCAAGACACCAAGAGGCACGGAGAAAGCTCATGAGCTGATCTGTTATGGGTTGGATGAAATTGCAAAAGTTCACAGAGCAATCAAAGCACAACACCTCAAGAAGTTCTTCCCCGATACCAACCTGGAAGACCTTCACAGACCAGAACATGTTGAGCTTCTCATAAGCCACCGTGAAGGAAGACTTGCTCCACAGAGAGTAAAGGTAGTAGGAGATCTTGTCCTGTGGGAGAGCCCTTTAGGAAAGACCGTTGGAGGAGCACATCCAGACCTCTGTGAGGTAGTGGACATGGCCCTGCACAATTCTGAAACTCATTTTGCACGATCTATGAGAATCACAGCAGTAAAGTATCAAGAAATTGCTGAGATGCAAGAATCTAGAGCTGAAACTAGAACCACTGTTATTGGCAAAGAGTTCTTGGACTGGTGGAAGTGGGACAGCATTGGTGCGGCCTGTGAACCCATGTGTGGAGGATGTCGTTGTGGTAACTGTCAACCAGGAGGCAAAGACATGACTCTTAGTGAAGAAAGAGAGCTTGAGATAATCAGGCAAGGTCTCAGTTACGTGGAGTCAGATGTGCATAGTCAGGAGCCTCACTGGGACACAAAATACCCTTGGATTGAAGATCCAAGTTCCCTGCCCAACAACAGAAGCGCAGTGGAAGCCACGTTTCTGAGGACGGAGAAACAACTCAAGAGAGAACCAGATTGGCGTGCAGCATACACAACTCAAGTTCATGAGATGGCGGAAAGGAAGGCAGCAAAGAAACTCACTAGAAAGACCATTGCCGACTGGAAAGGTCCAGTATGGTACGTCAGTCACTTGATAGCACCAAACCCACACTCTATAACTACACCTGTCCGACTGGTATGGAACAGCAGCCAGAGGTTTAGAGGAAGCAGCATGAATGACCTTCTTCTGAAAGGGCCTGATGTACTTAATCCTATTCGAGCGGTACTGCTAAGGTTCAGGAGAGGAATCCATGCTGCTCTCGGCGACATCAAAAAGATGTACAATTCTGTGTGGCTCGAAGACCTGGAGATGCACCTCCATAGATTCCTCTGGAGAGACAGTGATGATGGGGACATTGAGGAATATGCCATCACCAGGGTCAACATGGCCGATCGACCAGCAGGGTGTATCGCACAACTAGCCATGAGAGAAACAGCGAAGTTGCCCATGTTCACACATCTGAAAGAGGAACGGAGGGTCCTTGAAGAGGATTCCTACGTAGATGACATCCTGACATCCCATAATGACCTGGAAAAGCTAGACGGAACCACCAAAAAAGTCGAAGAAATCCTAAAGGCAGGTGGATTCTTCCTCAAGCCGTGGGTCCGATCAGGCCAAAGTGGGAGGCAAACATCTACATCAGAACATCCAACATCATCAGATGAAGTCTTCATCCTCCCCAACCAAGTGAGAGAAGGAGACAACAGAGCCCTTGGAGTTGGTTATTTAGTCGAATCAGACAAACTGTACCTCATGACCTCGATAAACTTCTCAAAGAGACAA